TTACATATACCTAATAAAAATCAGAGGAAAGCTATTAGTGTTTTCACAAGTTTCATTTTACTTTTGTAATCTGCGTCAGTAAGTAGGCTGGTATCACTGACCTCTCTTTTTTCTGTTAATTATGGACTATAATAACAGAACATTTCTTATTAATGTGAAAATTTATTTTCAATTTTTTACCCGCTATAAACTACCTTAGGTAACGAGGAAAAAATTTGTTGCTGTTGTCAGACCCTCGCCGGGAATCGAACCCGAGAACTTTCGCTTCACGCTCTGAACACTAATAGACATAAGTCGATATCCTTAAATAAAAAAGGACCTTGTTAAGGATTATCAATAAAGGCACAAAAGAGGCTATTTGGTGTTACGTAATAATGCCCAACATTACCATCAAAAATCTTATCAACTAATGAATAAAACTTATAAAAAAAATACAAAATTTTGAGTGGGCTTTACTGGCATAAAATATACCTACCTTTCAAAATTTCCATATACAATGGGCTTCGTCTTCTTTTTTCTTTCAATACCTGTGTTTAAACGGAATGAGTAGGTTAGATACAATGTACCTACACGGTTCAGTGCTGAACAAGGAATAATACTTACAAATAACATTCTCAATCGCAATTTTGCTCCTACACATTCGCCTTGTTAACCTACAATTAAATTATAATAATTTACAGTACGCCTCTTTCTTGTTGTTATTGTACTGTTTTCAGCAAGATGGTATCGTTAAAATGCAGACGCGATTTACATCAAATGATTATTTGTTCTTTTCATACGTGTATTATTCTTTTATATTCCGAAAAAAGGTTATTCATCTCCTTTCTGTTATAGGAGCATTAACTTAATCTAAAACGAATGTGACTAAAAAGCATAATCACTAATAAAGGATAGAAAACGTAATAGTCCACTGCGCGACGAACGACTGCGCATTAATTTCGGTAGTATCACTAGGCAAAAGTAAACAAATAAACAAAATCTCCTTGACTACGTATAAATCGGATGCGCATTTGTCTAAAGCGCAGTGGATCTTCGAACTTTGTGACGCCCTTACGCTCACGCCATATTGCTTGCAGTCCTTGACATAACCTAACTAAATCAAATTAATGTAAACATAACCTAACTTTATCTGTTCCAGTGTTAATGCAACGTAATATTGTTACAAGATGTCGCAAACTTGAGAAACCTCAAGGAATTGTGCCTGATTTTTTAAAAATTTAGATTAACAAGCTATTTTATGGTACGAATGTAGGTAGTACGGCGGTTCATTTAAGAAAAAACGCCTACGTCTATTTTTGTTTGGCATTTTGGTATTTATTAGTTCTCGTGCGTAATTCACTATGCAATTTCATTGAATGTTTGTCGACACACAACGAAAAACAAACAGACAGTAAAAGTCAATGAAATTAAAACAAACCTGTCAGTTATGTTTTACCGAGAAACAGAAAATCGGGATATTCTGCTTCTGCTTCTGCTGTTTATTTTCTGGCAATATGCTTTTTCAAAAATGGCGTCATTAGTAGAGATAATCCGTCACATTTTGCTAGACAACTATAAAAAAAAAGACATTTTTCCGTTTAGACAACTGTATCGTACCCAAGTCATCGTAGAGATAACAATTCACACGTCATACTGGATTTGAACAGAAATTGTTATGTCTGATTTAGTTGCTATTAATATCTATACGAATTGCTGTAAAAAAAGTAATAATAAAAGGGAATCAGTTTCGTTAATAGTGTTGAAGTAGGTTTAGGAAACGGATACCGTCTGTTTGTGTATAATATTTATTTGACAAGAAGCAAAAAATTATTCTTTGAGAATGTTGCCGTATCTAATACAACAAAAAAAAAACTAATCATACTCTTTAGCATTTAATTAAATAGTTTAATGGGAAATTGAATTGACTTGTGCTAGGCTAAAATTGAATGAAGTAAAAACGTTTTGTACTAGAATTTGTTTACTAGTTAATATACTAATAGCAATTTTTTCAAATATAACGCATTCAACAAGGTGTTTCGCATTTTTTATTGTAAAAATAAATTTGGTTGTTATTTCTGTTGCCGATAACTACATATAATTGACAGCACTATGCAGGAAAATGTTTATTTATTAACCTTATTAAAAGTTGATCCTATAAAACCTTATCTAAAACTTATTGGAAGAACTAAAAGACTGTTGGAATAAGAAATCACTAGGAAATTGTTAATAAAATGAAGATGATAATCTAAACGAAATAATTCAATATTTTTTATAGAGTTAATTAAAATTTCGAATTCCGTTAATTAATGTTCACGTTTTCGTGTAGATATTATTATAGTTGATTAAGCTTTCAAGAAGCTACTGACTAAAGAAAGTTTAAAGTTAGGTAACAATACGGTAATAACGGTTTTAAGAGATCTAGATCTGGACAGGTACGTACCTACTAGAAATACTGATGTTAAACTAATAACTGTTGCCCATAGTGTGGCCCCGGACGAAAGACGTTAACAGGTAATTAAGTTATTTATTAAATTACGGTTTCGTCGTAAACTTTATGCCTAACACGTAATTGCTATAGCGAACGATTAAACGATTTGTAAACGCGTCAAAGCTTCGAATTCTATTTATACGGATTTTTAGGTTTTTAATAATGCTGACGAAGCAGATGACTGACTGACTGATACTTTATGATTTTCCTTATTCGAATAATAAATGAGACGTTATAAATTAGGCTGAAAGGAATGTTAATTTTGAGTTAAACGAGCTTTTTATGACTAAAGACTGAGGAGAATGTCAAAAAGCAACAGATATTTCAAATTGTGACTACAGATAAGTAATTGCTTACAAATTCGTGTAACTAGAATTAATTTTACTGTTAAGAAACACAGTGCTAAGTTTTGTGTAGAATTCTGATGAAGTCCTAGGGTGTGCGAAACAATTAAGTTAAAAATAATACAATTTATGGAAATTACACCAGTTCGCGTATGTATTTACAACGTACTATACACGTCAAACAAAAATGTAATGGTTATTATGTCATTCAAACATTCGGACGTAACATTTAGACCCGACTACTTTTTTCCAATTGTTTATTACCAACTCAAATACATCAAAACGGATGATTTTTAATTAAAGATTTAAGGATGACATCAAGACTACGAAAAATAGGTATAGCTATCTTTCTATCATTCATTTCTTAAACGTTTTAATAGTCAATTTTTTTTTAGTCCTTTCAAATTTAAATCGATGACATTTCTACAATTTTTTACAGAAAAGTGCAATTTTCGATCTTTTTTCCATGGATCATAACTTAAAATGAGTGATGGACAGACACACGGACAAATCCGAGGTAGAACATCATCATAATATGATTTTTATTGTAATTATAGACGTTGCTCGATCTCCGGAACACGCCGGGCCACAAAAAAAAAATCGGAATGAATTAATAACAAATTGAATTAGCGAAAGGCGATCCCATAAATTCCAATAAACGTTGGTCGCGGTCGCGTATGTACGTACATTCATATACATATGTATGTACATTATATGTAGGTATACATGCCAGTATTATGTCCCCGTCGTTAAGAGAGAGAGATAGATTGTGAGACAGAGATGCGACTAGACCACGTGTAGAAGCGGAAAACAAACACGAATCTTAAATTACTAAATATTTTTCCACTTTGAGTTTATTAAATCTGTCTCTTCTAATTTAAGGCAATTTATATATTGTTAAATGTGTGTAGTTCTATTAACCAGGAGTTCGTACTGATTCTCCAAGTCTTGCTGTGACGGTAGTTTACATCTCAAAGACACAGCGTTTTAGAATGGACAGTGGACAGGACCGGCTCAGAATAATTTTGTTGCAAATGGTCAATAAATAAAATCAATCGAATGCGAAAATTGCTCAGTTTATTAGTAGATAAAGATGTTTTTTATCTGCATATTTGCATAACAACTCAAACCAAACTGATCTCTGGTCCTTTCACCATTAAAATCTTGTTGGAGCATACGTAATCCTAAAATGTAGCATCGTACTACAGATGGCGTTTACCGCGACATTTGTGGTGTTTTCTAAAACGCGCTGTTAAGACAGCAGGTAAAAGTTGATCTGTGTGTTCTGTCACTTTGGAATTATTTTATTAAAATCTTGTTCAAGAAGAAAAATTTTCTTGATTTCTCTAGCGACTTTCCATTTACAAAAACTGTTTTCATTCTACAACTCCATGTAACATTTTTGAATCACTATAATTCACATGCACTAACTACTAATGGATAAAAAATTAAGAAGTGTAATTGTCCTCCAACAATTTTTGAGTCCGGCTCTGTCACATCTTTTTCCGTTCTCAGTAAATAAAAAAAAAAAAACGGTTCAAACGCTTACGCGAAGTAATGATATTTTGAATTTGAGTAATCGCAGTCTGTCAAAAAACTTAATAACTGATTGTGTTCGCTTCGGAACTTATGAATAATTGAAGCTCTTAATTATTTTAATGACCGATCCAGCGCTGATGATGAATTCGAGCTTGGCAACGGCCGCAAAAGAAAGATGCATTTGTTTGTTGTTAGTTATTAGGGGAATGTAGTACAACGTTACAAATATTGTCGATCGCGAAGCGAGAATTCGTTGCGTAAAAGGTCATCTTTTGTTTAAAAAAAAATGTAGAAGAACAGATGAGAGGTTCTCTTCTTGGTTTGGCGAATTTGTGAAAAGGTTATTTTAAATAGTAACTACACGGATTGTTGTAATAATAATACTGGTAAAAATGTTTAATCTTATTAATAAGAGACCATGAACTTTATTCCATCAATTCAAATGTCACATCAATAAAATGACATGTAGTTCTCACGAAGAGTTGCACACATACTCAAAAATACTCATTACCTCATTTTTATAGGTAAAGATAGATGCAAAGGAAACATTTTTGCTATTTATTCGATTGAGAACTTCGTGTTTTTCAGTAAGTAATAAACATACAACTGTAGATAAGGAATCTACGGAGTAAGAAAACAAAATGACTTACCACTTATAGGGTTGTTTTCCATTGGGGGCGGACTGCCATCTTCCGATTTCGACACAGGAAATTGCATTAAGCTTGGAGAAAACATGGCCTGTAAAATGAATATTGTTAATTAGGAAAGTAAAAATGAAAATTTCAAGGGGGGTGAGATGAAATATGACAAACTTTGTGCGAGGGTTGCTAATGTATGTAGTAATCAGCCTAAAAGGATAAATATGTATTTCGCAGGAGCGTTCAGAGACTCTGTCATTTAGTATGCTTTGTGTTTGTCCGACGTTACTATAATTTGAAATTTATGCTGATGTTGAGTAAAAATATAATAATAAAATGGGTCAAACTCGCCTTTAGGTGCATATTTTATTATAATAATTGTGTTGTTATTGTTTTATGTAATTCTTATCTTAAGTGCTATTTACTAACCGCGTTTACATCGAAAAGTTGTGGTTTCTGCGTTAGGAAATTGCCGTTTGGTGCTCCGAGGTGTATTGTATATTTATAATCTGAGAAACTGCGCGTTTCCTTAAATGGTCAACTTAAATTAATGAACTGTCTAATAAAAATTTTAAGTGTTTTTCACGCAGGCTTTTGTTTGTGAAGAAATTAAGAACCTCTGTCCGAGAGACAAAAAGTTAAAAAATTGCCATCATCAATTTAGCAATTCAATGAATAGTTTAAGTAGGCCCATCTCATTCGAATTTCTCTTTTTTTTGTGAAGTCCTTCAAGCTTTTTGACGAATACAGTTACAATCAGGATAAAATTTACATCGTCTTTTGAAAATCAAAGCAGGACATGATAAGAGTTTAGGTTTGACCTTTGAGCCGAGGTTTGAATGCCACGATTGCTTCTTCCATTAGTTGCAACATTCAAAAAATTGATTGATTGAGTCATCAATCCGAAGAACATAACCAATCTTCGTATTTCCCTAAAACATTCGGATCCGTCAAATGGGAGAAGTCTAAAAACATGGCGCCGATTAGCGAAAATTTATCGTAGTTCCTATAGTGTACCGTGCAATTTCCAAGTTTTTAAATTACGATAAAATAATGATAAGTATTGACACAATATGTGATTGGGCTGACACAAAGCCTCGGAAAGGACATTTCGTTGATGGTGAGCGTGTTTTTAATGCCAATCACATTATAAAATTCGGAAATAACAAATCCGGAATCTAGCCTTCAAATTCCGTCAAGTTTACTGCCTACTTTTTACAAACTTCGGATTTAAAAAGTGATTCACGTTATATAATTGGTGAGGTGATTCTGGGTGATTTAAGCAATATCATATCAATGACTTGCACGTGCAAAGCCGATTTAAGAGAACGCTGCAAACGCATTATTGCAACTTTGTTGTATTGCAGCAGGTATGTTCTTAACCTCAAAATACTTATATCGTATCATTAGAATTGTGTTGAATCAATTACACAGGAATAAATAATTTCTCACTTTATAACTTTTGTATGATTCTAATTTTAAATATTAAGGTTATGGCTGATGGTAAATACTTGCTGAAATATAATCATGTGCATTAAAATGACGTGAACAAATTTTTATTCCGGAATTCACTTCTTTGATACCTACTGCTTTCATCCAAGCTTCTATTAGTTTACTTTTTTCTCTAATTTTTCGAATATATTTTTTACATATATAAAATGGTTAGTTTTTATTGGAAAGTAGTTAATGTAGGTGAAGAGTGAAGATTTATGTCTGAAGTGCTATTGCAGCTTTTCACTGAACATATTAACTTTTTATACTTTAGAAGAAAACTTCGTCGACTCCATCATCAAAAAGTTTTTTTACTGTTTTAACGTAATATGAAGATTGGAAAAACTTTGGCGGTTGTTGTAGAACAAACAGAATAGCTCAAAACCCCAACGCCAAAACACGACACTGTAGTGCACTTTTCGGTAACAAAGTTACCTTCTTCAGGGACTGAAGTAAACTAAACTAGTAGAAGGTAACTTTGTTACCGAAAAGTGCTTCGGACAACTACAGTGTCGTGTTTTGGCGTTGGGGTTTTGAGCTATTCTGTTTGTTCTGTTTTAACGTATTTTACTATTTTAACAAACAATTTTACAATTTGCGTGCACAGTTTCTATGTAAATTTTTCCCTCATTCGAGTTATAAATTTTGCCACCAGATGGTGTATGCCCATTTGACGGATCCCACATTGGGATATATCCATATCCATCAATTTGCGAGCAATAACCTCATCTAGCTTTGCTTTTGCATTTTTCTAGACTTTCCAGTTTTAATATTATCTCTAATCTTTTTCTTTCATCACTCTTTCATACCAATATTTCCAAAGAGCAACAAACATCATACGATAATTATGTCCCTCTAATAAAAAATAATTAGCAGTGGTGCTCCCTAGCCAACTACGACAATAACAGCGAAATGGTTAAATGCGTTGAAACTATTTTTGGATCTCAGTCGCGTTTGGGCTCCTGTTTCGCATTTGTTCTTAATGTGCATTTCGCGTGTTAAAGACAGCGGTAATTACAGGAGAAAAGGTAAATTTTAAAATACGCGTTAACGCAAAAAAGTTCTAAAACTGGTAAACTTTTTACGTATCTCCGTCTCTTCCGCTGGTTCATTTTTTTCTGTTTTTCTCATTTCGAGAGACAACGGTACCATCCGTGGCCTCTTATGTAGGTTTAATCTTTCACTATATTTGTGTAATGTAATGGCAAAATAATAATTTAATTTAAACTGCGCCGGGCGCTTGTTAGTGCCTCTCGAAACGTCGATGCTTAATTATGTTACCATGGCCGTAGGCCGTGCCGTCACGGTAATGTGAATGGAGATTTTTTTGAGATCACGTTTCCCAAAAGAAAAATTTGTAACGAGATTCTGGTCTGCTCGATTTTTATGAGAAAAAGTCAATTTGTTTATCGAACTTCTTACATATGTATCAGTTATTCAGTAAATATTATATAGAATTTGATGAGAGACAGGGCAGGACTCCACTATTATTTGTACTATTGTCGCATTATTTATACTAGTTTATTACTTATTTTGATACGGTTTAATACTTTTAACGATGGTTAAAGAGACTTCTGTGGAAATCAATAAGAAATAGGCGAGATTGTTTGATATGATATATCTAGGGTAGTTAAGACATATTAACTCAAGATATCTTTGGGTCTAAAACCTTACAATAAAGAAATAAATCAAATATAAAGCAATTGTTGAATTAACTTACAAATACTATTTACCTTGAAGTAACAATAAGCGCTTTAATTTCATATTGAATTCTGAACAGTTTTTGCCATCTGGTTATTGGGAAATAGAAGTTTTCAATTTTTCCGTCATTTCTTTTAAAGTAACTACTTAACATGCATAGGAACTTGTGATTTTTACCAGAAATCGTATTAGAAACAATTCAATTTCTTGCAGTAATAAGTAAAAGCATTCTGTTTTCGAGAAAATAATTTTAATTACATATCTGCAACCTGCACATATCGTTTTTCCCTGTTGTTAATGAGTTTTTTCGCGGCACAAAAACTTTGTACCTAGTTTACTACCTGTTGAAGGCGCAGCCATTTCAATCTCATTCTAATTTAAATGTGATTATTCATTTTATAAATAATCGGGCATGTATCGTATGTGAAACAGGCGACCCCGATGTTGCAATTCATCTTGTGAAAATGAACCAACTTAATTGATTTCAATTTTTACACACTGGCAACATTTGTAGGAAAACGCCATGCTTTTTGTCAATGTTTATTTATTATTATTATGAACCAATCCACTATTTGCAGAATATTTGTTAACGTATTAATAATTTGAAAGTTTTGTTGTCGGACATGATACGCGTCACAGGCGTAAACGAACATTTCTATTGTTATTTCTCTCTATCGCCGTTTAATTGGTCTGAAGTTAGTAACGGTTGGTTGGTAATTGGTATTCAAACTTTATTCGGTTGGTAGGTATGTTTATTTAACGATTGCTTTGATTTGAGGTCACGTTATCAAAAACAAACGTTTGCAATATAATTTTAACGAGAAAGAGCCGATTTGGTTATCAAGCTTTTTTAAATAACAAATTTGTACATAAGTAATAGTGAATATATCTTGCAGAATACAGGGCAGACTCCGTTATTATTGTAAACAAATAACTTATTCTGTCACATGACGAAAATTATAGTCAATTGATTGACATCTGTCATTAATTTTTAGGTTAAGTTCATTTGACGTTTGTTAATTGTGGTTGGGTGATAGGTTATGTGCAACATTTGACAGCTGCTAGTGCTGTAATGCTGTATTGCCAACTGTAAATCTGATAAAAACAAAACACTAGGGATTTAATTTATCTTTTATATTATTATAATTGTCGTTTTGTTTTGAAACAAAGAGTGTAGTTTTGATTTAATTACTAAATAAAATTGATATGGTGAAGTTAAATGACAACACTAAAACGATTTTTCCCAATTTAGGACCATTTCTATGTCGTTAGGTGCGTCAATTTTCTATCCATTATACACACTGGTAGTGTTCGTCTACTACCTCTGTCTGAGACACGTTTTTAGATGAACGTGTACATGCATGTACGTATGAGGCTGATACATACCTACTTACATGCAAATTAGTTACATTTTTCATGCGGACCATGGCTCCAAAAGTGGTTTTTAATTAACTGTCAATCTTAGTGGCTGCCTTGTAAGGTAATTTTTTTAAGTCTTAACGTAGAATTCGACCCAAATGCCGTAGGAAGATTTGAACAATGGATTTTCCAGTTGAAATTCGTTTTTGTGTGAAACAAATATAATACTTAATAAGTACACATAATAATTGGACTCCGGTTTGTGTAGAACGTTTTAATTTTCCCACACTTTTGTTTCCTTCCACAGCACTCCTTGCATCGCGTCGTCGGAACTTTAAAACAATAATTACTCTTTTGCCTAGAATGGTCGATTATTCAGTTTTCTTTTATTCGATTATAATTAGTTTTTTAACGGAAAAGTGCTTACGAATGAATTAACCTACGCCTTCTTTTCAAATTAATGCAAGTTATTACAATATTATATGGGTAGTGATTGTAATTACTTTGTTAGAACGGTTTAATGATAATAATAGTCGTATCAACAAGTGAAAAAAAAAATGTGCAAATAATGTTACGCGGTATTTCCCACAACACCTCTCCGAACTTATTAAGGCGAAGGAGTTTCAACAAAACGGGCAAAAACAATGGTCGACGAAATATATCTTTAATTTTCAATTTAAATGCAAAATAAGTCGAATGTGTGTCAGAGGCGTTTTAATTTATTCGATTACAGGAACGTCGAGGTTTATTATTTTTACCGCCAGAAATTATAGACCCTGTTAATTACAGAGGAATCAACAATTACTTATGTACTTGCTAAAATCTTAACTATGCGACTATGAGAAGATTTGACAATAAGTTACATAAAAACTTTTTAAATATTATTCTATTAAGCTATTACTAATTGACAGATAGCCCGTTTTCAAAGGATTCCAAGAAAATTGCAAACTAGATAGTTCTATATGAGTGCTAAACGCTATTTTGCTATCGAAAGAATACCAATAACTTACTGAAATCAATTCATCTTTTACTAATTGACAGGCAGATTACTGTTAAATCATGTCAAAGTAGTTGTTAACTAGGCAGTTCTAGATGTGTGCTAAACGACACTTAGTTCGTAAAATAACATCGCAAGGAGAGGTACACCGAGTGCTAAGTCATAAGATTTGTTGATATATCGATAAGGTATTGAAATCAGTTGTTCCTTTACTAATTAACAGGCAGCATGCTTTCGAAATGTTTCTGTTTAGAGAGCTTTACGTATATGCTAAATGGCATTTAGTTTAGCAATTGACAGGCTGTTCGTTTTTTATAACATTCCGTAATCTAGAAAATTCTACGTGAGAGCTAAAGGCCTTTTAGGTTTGTACAGAAAAGATATCGGTAAGACATTGGAATTAGCTGTTCCTTTACTAATTAACAGGCAGCATGTTTTCAAAATGCGGCACGATAACTTGGACTAGAGAGCTTTAGATGTGTGCTAAATGGCTTTTAGGTTCGTAAAAATTATGTTGAAAAACTGACACCGATATGTATGTTGTTGAAATCAATCTTTCTTTTAGTAAGTGACATGCCGCACGTTTTAAAATCAAGCTAAAGAAAACAGCAAACCAGAGCTTTTTATGTGAACCCTAAAGGTTTCTAAAATAATAACTAACAGTAAGGTCTGTGTGTTGTTATGTTATCTAAGTGGTTGACATACCTCATTAGTATCAACTTAATTTTAATGAGAAGCAGTTTTTAAACATACCCCAGGACTGTGTTGGCTGGAATGTCCAATCAATTTTGGGTCACCCGAATTGCTTTCCGAGCCGCCCTTGATCCGCATACTTTCGACGTCTATGTGCGAAAAATTGAGCGCAGTGCCGTTCGTGTAGTGGGATGAGATCTTGCGTTTTTTCGTATCGAGGTCCAGCGGACCTCTCTGACAGCTCTGGTTAGAGTTGTGAGGTATACTAGGACTAGACGTTTGAGTTATCGTTAGGTTAGGTAGAAAAGGTACGGACGATGAGGTATACTTGGTGTTTAGGACATCATGAGCCTTCGGTGACAGTGGCGTACTGGGCGGAGTCGGCGGCTGCGAAGGCGGACTTTGGTTTAGTTTGCGCGGCGGATTCAGCGTCAAATTTTCTAGGATTTTACCTGAAAACCAAAAGAAAAACATTACGTATAGTATAGTGTCAAAAAAAAAAACAACGAAATAACTTATTTAGGCATATAAAAAGGTTATGAGTATGCAGTTTTTTTATTTTATTAGAGAGAAATAGTTTCGTTAGGTTTATGTGCTAGTAGTATCTTTAATTTTGTTTCATACTGTACCAAAGCTCGGATACATTTCGTTCTTTAAAAGATCTACTGGAACGACGATGTATCTTTGAAAATGTTTCCCGAAGAAGAGCGCCCCGCTGCCACCCCCTCTCGCTTCTTTCTCCCTTTAAGTCCATTTAGTTAATCTGTTTAATATTAAACGGCGTGATTCGGCGTTTTCTTAAAACGAATCGGAGTCTAAATTGAGTCGAATGTGTTCAAAATACATACGTAATGAAGGACTTGTGTATGTTTATGGAGATTATTATTAATGAGAATTCTGGATGGAAAGCTGAAAAAGTCGGCTCGTTTTTTTTTTTATCCATCTACGTCTCCGCAACAGCCAAAAAGGTGGTCGTCAAACAATAATGGATTTCTTAATATGCTGGAAATGGTTTTTGTGTATGCTGTCTTTTTTTTTCTTAGTTGAATAACAATGTTGATGTTTATCAGGAGGAACTACTGGCCATATTTTTGTAATATAATAATAATAGTTATTATTCTTGCCTAACTAAACGTTCTTAATAAAAAATAATTTACCATTTAACGAACTCTGGGTTAGAATCTATTCGGAGATTGTTTATCTAGCTTCTTTTGATTAGGACTCTTTTATTTGATGATTCGACATAAGTTGGATATAATTTTCTGTTGGACAGTTTTTCATTAATATTAATCAATATTTTTATTAGGTGGCGCAAACATTTTCAAAAATAAGTGTCAAAATCAAAAAAAGTTCGGTGAAAGTCTCGATTAATATACGCACTTCCGATTTCGTTGACATTTTTAATGTTGTGCTGTTCACTATTCTCAACAAGACCATGTTGGGGGCTTCAAATCAAACCCAACCTAACCGAATTTCAAGAAAAATAAATACGGCTACGAAAATACTCACTTCGCTAGTGTTGCCTTTACTTGACGTGACCTTGATTTGAGGCTTTTGTTTAATTGATTATGGTCTTACGTTTACGGTAGGTAAAGGCAATGCGAAAGGAGTGAGTATTTACATTTAGTTATACATATTCTTATTTAGCATAACAGTAAACTGCACAATTACCAAGTATTTTTGAAATTAGCGATGCGTATGCCTTGTAATTGAGATCTTTACAAAAAGTTCAATGATTAGGAGAAAATTTATGTCTTTTTAATGCAAATTTAGCGACTACACATTGAAATATCAACGTAAGCTTGCACGGTTGGTTCGATTATCAGAGATGTGTAGGTATTAAAGTGGTGGGATATCTTACATTTCTTACCGAAGATAATAATTTCAATTTATCAATAATTTGATTAAAGACTTGGCCCGAAAAGAATCCTGGTCGTTCCGTCGATTTAAAATGTTTTCACTGTCGTTTGTGAGAAGCGTACGTTCTAGACAGCAACTTCAGATTTTTATCATAAATTAACTTAATGTAAATTAATGAATTAAACCTTGCCTCTAAATCCGAATATCGCATTGTTACTGGGAATTCGTGAGCCGAGAACGGAGCAGCTTATCAAAGATATGGAAATTGACCATTACTCCGTTTCTCTCCTCCGGTTGACGGATAGTTACCAGACCAAATTTTGACATATTCTTGTAAAAGCTTCCAAACCTGTTTTCGTTTTGACTAATTATCTATATAT